TATTGACTCTTTGCCTGTTTGATGGTTCGTCGGAGGTCATAGCGGGATTTCTTATAAGCGTCCGGGTTAGAGTCCCGTTCCTTGAAAGCGGCAGCTCTACCCTTTAGCATACCCATAACATGATGCAGCCACCGCCATGCTTGAAAATATGAAGTGGTACTCAGTGCCGTGTTGTTGGATTTGCCCCAAACATAACGCTTTGTATTCCAGACATGAAGTTCATTTCTTTGCCACCTTTTTTTGCAGTTTTACTTTAGTGCCTTATTGCAAACAGGATGCATGTTTCTGAATTTGTTTATGCTGTACAGGCATCCTTCTTTTCACTCTGTCATTTAGGTTAGTATTGTGGAGTAAGTACAGTGTTGTTGATCCATCCTCAGTTTTCTCCTATCAGAGCCATTAAAATCTGTAACTGTTTTATAGTCACCGTTGGCCTCATGTTGAAATCCCTGAACGGTTTCCTTCCTCTCTGGCAACTGAGTTAGGAAGGATGCCTGAATCTTTGTCGTGACTGGGTGTATTGATACACAATCCAAAGTGTAATTAATAACTTCACCATGCTCAGAAAAAATATATAATTTTTTTTCTTCAAATGTTGTCTACCAATAGGTGCCCTTTGCGAGGCATTGGAAAACCTCCCTGGTCTTTGTGGTTGAATGTGTGTTTTGAAATTCACTGCTCGACTGAGGGGCCTTAGAAATAATTGTATGTGGGGTACAGAGATGAGTTAGTCATTCAAAAATCTGTTACTATTGCACACAGTGAGTCCATGCAACTTATTATGTGACGTGTTAAGCAAATCTTTACTCCTAAACATATTTAGGCATGCCATAACAAAGGGGTTGAATACTTATTGACTCAAAACATTTCGACTTTTTAATTAATTTGTAAAAATGTCTAAAAACATCATTCCACTTTGACATTAGGGGGTATTGTGTGTAGGCCAGTGACACAAAATCTCAATTTAATCCATTTAAAACTGAACAAAAATTTAAACACCAACAATTTTAAAGATTTGACAGAGTTACAGTTCATACAAAGAAATCAGTAAATTGAAATAAATAAATTAGGCCCTAATCTATGGATTTCACATGACTGGGAATACAGATATGTATCTGTTGGTCACTGATACCTTCGCATTGTTGATCGGGCTGTTGATTGTGGTCTGTGGAATGTTGTCAAACTCCCCTTCAATGGCAGTGTGAAGTTGCTGGATATTGGTGGGAACTGGAACACACTGTCATACACGTCAATCCAGAGCATCCCAAACATGCTCAACGGGTGACGTGTGGTGAGTATGCAAGTCATGGAAGAACTGGGACATTTGCAGCTTCCAGGAATTGTGTACAGATCCTTGCGACATTGGTGATGGCGGTGCATGAATGGCACAACAATGGGCCTCAAGATCTCGTCATCTGACCGGTACAGTTAAAACCGGGATTAATCCGTGAAGTGCACACTTCTCCAGCGTGCCAGTGGCCATCGAAGGGGAGCCTTTGCCCACAGAGGTCGGTTACGACGCCGAACTGCAGTCCGGTCAAGACCCTGTTGAGGACGACGAGCACGCAGATATGCTTCTTGATATGCCACAACTGTCAGGTGGATGGATTGTCTTGGCAAAAGAGAAATGATCACTAACATGGATGTGAACAAATGTTTGCACAAAAATGTGGAGAAATTAGCTTTATGTCTGTATGGAAAATTTCTGGGATCTTTTATTTCAGCTCATGAAACATGGGACCAACACTTGACATGTTGCGTTTTTATATTTTTATTCAGTGTAAATTCAGGGTGTAACAACAAAATGTGGAAAAATTCAAGGGGTGTGAATACTTTCTGAAGGCACTGTCCATATCCCAACCAGAAGCCATGGATTACAGGCAACATCCGCAATGAGCTAAAGGCTAGAGCTGCCGCTTTCTAGGAGTGGGACACTAATCCGGGCACTCTCCGATGAACCATCAAACAGGCAAAGTGTCAATACAGGACCAAGATCGAATCCTACTACACCGGCTCTGACGCACGTCGGATATGGCAGGGCTTGCAGACTATCACGGATTACAATGGGAAACCCAGCCGTGAGCTGCCCAGTGGCACGAGCCTACCAAGTGAGCTAAATGCCTTCTATGCTTGCTTCGAGGCAAGCAACACTGAACCATGCATTGGAGCACCAGCTGTTCTGGACGACTTTGATCGCGCTCTCCGTAGCCAATGTGAATAAGACGTTTTAAACCGTTAACATTCACAAGGGCCAGACGGATTACCAGGACACGTACTCGGAGTATGTGCTGACCAGCTGTCAAGTGTCTTCACTGACATTTTCAACCTCTCCCTGACCCATCCTGTAATACCTACATGTTTCAAGCAGACCACTATAGTCCCTGTGCCCAAGAACGGCAAGGTAACCTATCTAAATGACTATTGCACCGTAGCACTCACATCTGCAGCCATGAAAGGCTGGTCATGGCTCACATCATCCCAGACACCCTGGACCCACTCCAATTTGCATATTGTCCCAACAGATCCACAGTTTACGCAATCTCTATTGCACTCCACAATGACCTTTCCCACCTGGACAAAAGGAACACCTACATGACAATGCTGTTCATTGACTACAGCTCAGCGTTCAACACCATAGTGCCCTCCAAGCTCATCACTAAGATAAGGATCCTGGGATTAAACACCTCCCTCTGCAACTGGATCCTGGACTTCCTGACGGGTCGCTACGAGGTAGTGAGGGCAGGCAACAACACATCCGCCCTAATGACCCTCAACATGGGGTCCCTAGGGTGCGTGCTTAGTCCCCTCCTGTTCACCCACGACTGCATGGCTGCGCATGACTCCAACACCATCATTAAGTTTGCAGACGACACAACTGTGGTAGTCCTGATCGACGTTGACACAGCCTACAAGGAGGAGGTCAGAGACCTAGCAGTGTGGTGCCAGGACAGCAACCTCTCTGTCAACGTCAGCAAGATGAAGAAGCTGATCATGGACTACAGGAAGCGGAGGGCCGAGCACGCCCCCATTCACATGGACAGGGCTGTTTTGGAGTGGGTCGAGAACTTCAAGTTCCTCGGTGTCCACATCATTAAGGACCAAACAAACCAACACAGTTGTGAAGAGGGCACAACAATGCCTCTTCCCCTCAGGTGGCTGAAAAGATTTGCCATGGGCCCTCAAAGTTCTACAGCTGCATCATCGAGAGCATCTTGACTGGCTGCATCACCGCTTGGTATGGCAACTGCATGGCATCCAACTGCAAGGCGCTACAGTGGGTAGTGCATATGGTCCAGTACGTCACTGGGGCCAAGCACCCTACCATACAGGACCTCTATACCAGGCGGTGTCAGAGGAAGGGCCTAAAAATGGTCAGACTGCAGCCAACCAAGTCATAGACTGCTACCGCATGGCAAGCGGTACCGGAGCACCAAGTCGGGGACCAAAAGGCTCCTGAACAGCTTCTACCCCATTAGACTGCAAAAAAGTTAATAAAATGGCTACCCGGACTATTTGCATTGATGCCCCCTTTTTTTTGCACTGGCTCAATGCGCACACACACACTACACTGACACTCCACCACATACACATATTCACACACTATATATGCTCACACACACAAAACACACACGCATGCATATTGACCCCACTCACGTAGACACACTTTCACATACTTCACATATGCTGCTTCTACTCTGTTTATTGTCTGTCCTGATTGCCTAGTCATTTTTAGCCCTACCCACATTTACATATTACCTCAATTACCTCAACTGCCTCGTACCTCTGCACATTGACTCAGGACCGGTACTCCTTGTACATTTATATTGCCTCCATTATTTTTTTGTTACTATTTCCTCATCTTAATTTGATCAAATTTGTTTTTTAAGTGTTTATATGTTTTTAAAGTGTTGAACAAACACTTTTTAAGTGTTTATTGTTGGGAAAGGGCTCATAAGAAAGCATTTCACGGTAAAGTCTACACCTGCTGTATTCGGCGCATTTGACAAATAACAATTGATTTGATTGGGCTGGGGTGTTGGGCTGGCCTGCTGTTACTGGATTGGCCTGGATCTCTGATCTGTTTGGCTCTCTTTCTCCATCCAAATGAGGGCTTTAGCAGGGTTCCAGAGAGCGCGTGCACACACACACACACACACACACACACACACACACACACAGAGTCTGTGACAGGAGCTCTCTCCCTCCACTGCCCCTACATTGTTGTGTGTATTTAACACCTCAGTGAGCAGATTGCCCCCCCCCTCCCACTCTCCTGATCCCATGCTTAAAGGGTCTCATTGTGTTTAATACAGCCACCAACGGGGGGGAGCATCATATGACCTGAGAGAACGCCGGGGAAATTGCTTGTGTTTTGTGGGTCAGCAATCTGCTTTCCAAAGCCTTTAAATAATGTTCCCCCCCGAGAGGGAGGGTGTGAAGGAGCCTTTGGCTGGGGGCGTGGAGGGGGGAGGCAGGGGGAGTAGGAGGGGGGCCTCCCCCCCCCCCCACGGCTTGTCTGTTGGGTCTGTGTGTGTGTGTCTCTGCGGCTTCTGGAGGCACATTTTCATTGACAGACTGAGGCCTAAATGGACTCCAACATGATGGGCTAATCCACACACAATGGGATCCGTTAGTCAGGGGAGCTGGGGGAGGGGATGGTGGAAGTGAATCACACACACAAGCACATACTGCCCTTTAGCTGCAGCCGTAAAAGCTGGACAGGGCCAGGAGAGGGAGGACTGATAGTGGCAGAACAACTCACACTAATCAGGGCCTTCTCGCTGTGTGTGAATGTGGTTGTGTTGCTCCAATGTGCCCGAAATGAATATGTATGTGTAACACCACCACCACCACTATCCAACTGGGGTAGCTGTGTGGACTCCATGACACAAGGGCTTTGACTGAAGACTGAACGACAGCCCCACCTTCCCCTGGCCTGTAGCACATATCTTCTGCTATTTCTGCTTCTTCTTCTCATCTGCTCCTCCTGTCTTTGGCAGAGTAATACCATGCTGGTTGCTGACAGTTTGAGGAACTCAGACAAGCGCCGCAACGGACCTGAATTCCCCAATGACACCAAGAAGAGGAAAGTAGAGGACAAGGACTCTAGTCATTATGTAAGCAGCAGAAGTGAGGGTGATATCTGTTTGTGTGTGTGTGTGTGAACGGTGAATGACATTGACACACCTTTTGTCCCCACAGGATAGTGATGGAGAGAAGAGTGATGACAACCTGGTGGTGGACGTCTCCAATGAGGTACCTACGTGTGTGTGTCTGTCTGTGTCAAATAAAATAAAATGGTTGATGTCCTTGATGGTCTTTTTGGCCTTCCTGTGACTCTCTGACGTATACATGCCGGTCTGTTAGGGAAAGGAAAAGGAGGATACCTAGTCAGTTGCACAACTGAATGCATTCAATCTGTGTTTTCCAGATTTAACCCAACCCTTCTGAATCAGGCCTCGCTAGATAGCTCAAAGCAACTCTATGGATGCCATATGGGCCCTGGTCAAAAGTAGTGCACTATATAAGAAATAGAGTGCCATTTGGAACGTATACTATTATTTCACATCAAGGGAAGTGGGGCGCTGAGTATGAGTCAGTGTGTGTGTGTGTATGAACCTTCCCCCCCCCCCGCCTCCAGGATCCTGCCTCCCCTCATGGTACGCCCCTGCCCTCCCCCAGGGAGAACGGGCTGGACAAGACACGCCTCCTGAAGAAGGACCCCTCCTGTAGCCCCGCCTCCACAGCCTCCTCTGCAAGCTCCTCCTCCCTCAAGTCCAAAGAGATGGGAATGGTGAGTGTGGCCAAAGATCTCCATACACTAACCCTCTTCGCTGTCTAAACAAGTCTTTAACGCTGGATCACAGAAACACACACTTTTTAATGGGCCTTCCCATTTCCCTCTAAAGAGTGGTGGAATATCTTACCTCTCACCTTCTTTCTCACTCCATCCCTTCATTTCTCTCTCTTTTAATGGTGTGATATCTGGGTAACAAATGCCTCTGTTTCCATGGCAGCGTGACAAGCCGGGTACGCCTCGACCGAAGTCGAGCACTCCCACTCCCCGAGGAGACTCCACCCCCGGACCCAGCGCCACACCCACTCTCCGCCCCAGCCTATCCAAGCCCCCTTCCATGGAACTACCTCACCCACCTAGTAAGAGAAACTTCACCCCCTTTTAATTGACCTCAGTGCCATTTCCAATCCTTCCTAACAGCTTATAGTACAGGCTACCTACTAATATGCATTTGTTTAGTTTAGTTAAAGGAATACTACACTCAAACCATATTTTAATATTTTGTTCATTAGTCCACAGTTAATACAATACCAAAATGTTTTGCATGTCAGCAGTCAAGTTTTCAAGATGGAGCACTTTCAGGAAAGAGTACAAACTTGCCTTGATGATGCGTTTTGCGTCATGATTATGAATATGCTGCAGACTGACTACGCTGCAGATGCATTAAACCCATCTGAAAACAGCTCTTGTCTACTCCCTAGCCGCTGGTCTGCGGACTCCGCTGGCGGTGTCAGGGCCGTACCCCGGGCCGTTCGGCATGCTGCCCCATGCCGCCATGAACGGGGAGCTGGCGGGTGCCGGCGCAGCCTACGCCGGCCTCCACAACATGTCCCCTCAGATGAGCGCTGCAGCCGCCGCCGCTGTGGCTGCCTACGGACGCTCCCCTATGGTGTGTGTGTGTGTGTGTGTGTGTGTTCAGTGTATCTCTGAGTCCATAATGTGCGCTCATTGCGTGTCTAAACAGCTAAATGTCGGTATGTTTATGTAGGATCCATTGCGGTGTCTACTGACCACATTTCTCGTGTGTGTGTGCGTGCGCGTGCCCATGGCTCTCCTCATCCCTCGGTGTGTGTGTTCTCCCTCAGGCCGGCTTTGACCCTCATCCTCACATGAGAGTCCCTGGAATGCCCCTAAGCTTATCAGGCATCCCTGGAGGCAAACCGTGAGTTGCGTGTGTTCTGTATGTAAACTGTAGGGGAGTATCTTTCAGCACTGTTCTCCGTAGTAGCAAGACTTGAAACAAATATCCCCAAATGTGTTCCATGCCTCAATTCCACCTTTCCTCCTCTTACTCGGCCTCCTCCTCTCAGAGCCTACTCCTTCCATGTTAGCGCCGATGGACAGATGCAGCCGGTACCGTTCCCTCCGGACGCCCTGGTGGGCCCTGGCATCCCGCGCCACGCACGCCAGATCAACACGCTGAACCACGGCGAGGTGGTCTGTGCTGTCACCATCAGCAACCCCACGCGCCATGTCTACACGGGCGGCAAGGGCTGCGTCAAGGTCTGGGACATCAGTCACCCTGGCAACAAGAGTCCCGTGTCCCAACTGGACTGCCTGGTGAGTGCTAGGCCTAATATACACACTGTTATCCAACATCACACAGTTAAAGCATGTATTCAGTAGCATTGTCCTGCAACCTACATCACAGGATGTGTGTGTTTGTGGGCAGGGCACATGCTTTAAATATACACCTACATACCACTTTGTGTGCATAGTTTGTGTATTAGAGACAAAAAATAACTTTGTGCGCTTGCTTGTCAGAACCGAGACAACTATATCCGCTCATGCCGGCTGCTCCCCGACGGGCGGACGCTCATCGTGGGGGGCGAGGCCAGCACGCTGTCAATCTGGGACCTGGCCACGCCCACTCCACGCATCAAGGCGGAGCTGACCTCCTCGGCCCCGGCCTGCTATGCCCTGGCCATCTCCCCTGACTCCAAGGTGTGCTTCTCCTGCTGCAGCGACGGGAACATCGCCGTCTGGGACCTGCACAACCAGACCCTGGTCAGGTAAGGAACACATGGGAGAATATATTGGCAATAGGTAGCAGGTAGAAAATAGTAGCCTCTAACCACTGGTCCAGGGTCAGATATTGTTTCATCCCCCTAATGGTCAGTCATGCGTGCATAAATTTTCATATGGGTGGCCCCAATGGGAATTGAACCCACAACCCTTGGCATTGCAAGGGCCATGCTCTACCAACTGAGCCACACAGGACCACGTATTTGATAACATATCTGTTATTAATGTGTGTTGTTAACCACAGACAGTTCCAGGGCCACACAGACGGAGCCAGCTGTATTGACATCTCCAACGATGGGACCAAGCTGTGGACGGGGGGGCTGGACAACACCGTACGCTCCTGGGACCTAAGAGAGGGACGCCAGCTGCAGCAGCACGACTTCACCTCGCAGGTACACACACTCCTGAAAGACACAAAACAGCTCCAGCAGCACGACTTGAAACCGCAGGTTCACACACACCCCGCAAACACACAGGCAGGGCTCTAAAGTGCGACCAATTTGGCCGCATATGCAACAAAATATTTCGCTGTGTGACCAGGGGTTTTATTTTGGGAGCACGGTGCGACTATGAAAAAAGTATCCCAGATAATTGTTGTAATGATAAGGCTTCGCTGTACCGTTGTTTCCGAGTGCCCTAAAGAAGCAAGCGAGTGCAGATTCGTTAGCGTCATGGTTGAACCATTACTACAGCGAAAACGGCTTGCTTCTAGCCCTATCAGGTCAAAAGATCTGACCCATATTACCATTTTTGTCTTCCTATAGCGGACCGCCGGGACCTTTTCCATTCATAGATCATGTTGTGGGCTGTTCTAAAACTACTCGTGTATCGACGTTATTAACCATTTTGTTTACACTTTGTTCAGTCACATTACCTCATTGGCTAGCTAACATTTTACATGTACATTTTAGTCATTTAGCAGACGCTCTTATCCAGAGCGACTTACAGTTAGTGCATACATAATTTTTTCATACTGGCCCCCCGTGGGAATCGAACCCACAACCCTGGCGTTGCAAATGCCATGCTCTACCAACTGAGCTACATCCCTGCCGGCCATTCCCTCCCCTACCCTGGACGACGCTGGGCCAATTGTGCGCCGCCCCATGGGTCTCCCGGTCACGGCCGGCTACGACAGAGCATGGATTCGAACCAGGCTATCTAGTGGCACTGCGATGCAGTGCCTTAGATCACTGCGCCTAGTAACTTGACCAGTATATCCAAACGTTTAGAGGCACAGGAAGAAAGGAAAAGGGATAGCTTCTTCAGTAGATCAATGATCATAGCAATAAATGAATGACAGATCTCTACATGTTTTTAAAGCGACAGTGTAAAATGTTCAATGTTATTCATCTCAATGGGAAAATAGTGCTTTTATACAATGTAGAAACCTAATATTCCACAAATGACTTTGTAATTACAATGACAGGTATTTGTATAAACATTTTAGCTTTTATAATAAACTTATGTATTTACATTGTTACATATTAGTTTCTAGGGCACAAAGTAGCTAGAATTCCTAGGCTGCGTTTAGACAGGCAGCCCAATTCTGATATTCCTTCCACTAATTGGTCTTTTGACCAATCAGGTCTTTTCACATCAGATCTTTTTCAGAGCTGATCTGATTGGTCAAAAGGCCCAATATTGGCTTTATCTCAATCAATTTATAAAATCTTATTTTCTGTTGCTCCTAGATTTGATGTGGTGCTACTAACTTTTTTAAAGTTGGGAGCAACAGTGCTACCAATGGAAAATTATCATTTGGAGCCCTGCACACTGGCATCTCAAATCACTGGTGAGGAATGATCTCATACCATTTGGTCACAGCTTGTTTTCTCCTGGCAACGGTGTATTCTTTACAGCCTGCTAGTGCAACAGGAGTATCCAGAGTAATGCAGTATCTGTTATATGTGAAATCACAATAGTGTAATGATACGCAATGGCGCCAGAGGGGATGGCTGCCATTTTACTGGCTCCTAACCAATTGTGCTATTTTGTGTGTTTTTTCACATTGTTTTAACTTATTTTGTACATAATGTTGATGCTATTGTCTCTTATGACCGAAAATAGCTTCTGGATATCAGAACAGCGACTACTCACCTCGAACTGGACGAAAATGAGTCTGACGCGAAGGATATGATGGTGCTCCCGGACAAGGCCCAAATCTCTGTCATTCGCATTAAGAAAATAAGGAAATACAGGGGGCGGAGATCAGGGTGCCTTGTGAGAATTAGTTGGCAAGTGGGTAACCCGCTTCTACCATCTGTTTTTTGGGCCAATGTGCAATCATTGGAGAATAAACTGGATGACCTCCGTTCGAGACTATCCTACCAACGGGACATTAAACTGTAATATCTTATGTTTCACCGAGTCATGGCTGAACGATGACATGGATAATATACAGTTGGCTGGGTTTTCTTTGCATCGGCAGGACAGAACAGCTATGTCCAGTAAGACGAGGGGTGGGGGTGTGTGTCTATTTGTCAATAAGCTAAAGGCTGGAGCTACCGCTTTCAAGGAGCGGGACGCTAATCCGGACACTTGAAGAAATCCCGCTATGCCCTCAGACGAACCATCAAACAGGCAAAGCGTCATTACAGGACTAAGATTGAATCCTACTACACCGGCTCTGACGCTCGTCGGATGTGGCAGGGCTTGCAAACTATTACGAACTACAAAGGGAAAACCAGCCGCGAGCTGCCCAGTGACGCAAGCCTACCAGACAGGCTCAATGCCTTCTATGCTCGCTTCGAGGCAAGCAACACTGAAGCATGCATGAGAACACCAGCTGTTCCAGATGACTTTGTGATCACGCTCTGCGTAGCTGATGTGAGCAAGACCTTTTTAAACAGGTCAACATTCGCGGGGCCAGACGGATTACCAGGACGTGTACTCAGAACATGCGTGGACCAACTGGCAAGTGTCTTCACTGACATCTTCAACATCTCCCTGACCGAGTCTGTAATGGTTACATGTTTCAAGCAGACCACCATAATCGCTGTGCCCAAGAAAGGAAAGGTAACCTGCCTAAATGACGGTAGCCATGAAGTGCTTTGAAAAAGCTGGTCATGGCTCACATCAACACCATCATCCCGGAAACCCTAGACCCACTCCAATTCGCATACCGCCCCAACAGATCCACAGATTACGCAATCTCAATCGGACTCCACACTGCCCTTTCCCACATGGACAAAAGGAACACCTACGTGAGAATGCTGTTCATTGACTACAGCTCAGCGTTCAACACCATAGTGCCCACAAAGCTCATCACTAAGCTAAGGACCCTGGGACTAAACACCTCCCTCTGCAACTGTATCCTGGACTTCCTGACGGGCCGCCCCCAGGTGGTAAGGGTAGTCAACAACACATCTGCCACGCTGATCCTCAACACGGTGGCCCCTCAGGGGTGCATGCTTAGTCCCCTCCTGTACTCCCTGTTCACCCACGACTGTGTGGCCAAGCACGACTCCAACATCATCATTAAGTTTGCTGACGACACAAGAGTGGTAGGCCTGATCACCGACAACAGTGAGACAGCCTAAAGGGAGGAGGTCAGAGACCTGGTCATGTGGTGCCAGGATAACAACCTCTCCCTCAACGTGATCAAGACAAAGGAGATGATCGTGGACTACAGGACAAGGAGGGCCGAACACGCCCCCATTCACATCGATGGGGCTGTAGTGGAGCAGGTCGAGAGTTTCAAGTTCCTTGGTGTCCACATCACCAACAAACTAATCTGGTCCAAACAAACCAAGAAAGTCGTGAAGAGGGCACAACAACGCCTTTTCCCCCTCAGGAGAATGAAAAGATTTGGCATGGATCCCCAGATCCTCAAAAGGTTATACAGCCGCACCATCGAGAGCATCCTGACCAGTTCCATCACCACCTGGTATGGCAACTGCTCGGCATCCGACCGTAAGGCGCTAAAGAGGGTAGTGCGTACGGCCCAGTACATCACTGGGTTCAAACTTCCTGCCATCCAGGACCTACAGTTGAAGTCGGAAGTTTACATACAGCTTAGCCAAATACATTTAAACTCAGTTTTTCACAATTCCTGACATTTTTATTTTTTATTTTCACCTTTTATTTAACCAGGTAAATCAGTTGAGAACAAGTTCTCATTTACAACTGCGACCTGGCCAAGATGATAAAGCAAAGCAGTGCAATTAAAAACAACAACAACACAGAGTTACATATGGAATAAACAAAACGTATATTCAATAACACAATAGAAAATCTATATACAGTGTGTGCAAATGTAGTAAGTTATGGAGGTAAGGCAATAGATAGGCCATAGTGCAAAATAATTACAATTTAGAATTAACACTGGAGTGATAGATGTGCAGAAGATGATGTGCAAATAGAGATACTGGGGTGCAAATTAGCAAAATTAATAAAAATATGGGGAAGAGGTAGTTGGGTGGGCTAATTACAGATGGGCTGTGTACAGGTGCAGTGATTGGTAAGCTGCTCTGACAACTGATGCTTAAAGTTAGTGAGGGAGATAAGTGTCTCCAGCTTCAGAGATTTTTGCAGGTCGTTCCAGTCATTTGCAGCAGAGAACTGGAAGGAATGGCGGCCAAAGGAGATGTTGGCTTTGGGGATTACCAGTGAGATATACCTGCTGGAACGCATAGTACGGGTGGGTGTTGCTATGGTGACCAATGAGCTAAGATAAGGCGGGGATTTGCCTAGAAGTGATTTATAGATGACCTAGAGCCAGTGGGTTTGGCGACGAATATGTAGTGAGGGCCAGCCAACGAGAGCGTACAGGTCACAATGGTGGGTAGTATATGGGGCTTTGGTGACAAAACGGATGACACTGTGATAGACTACATCCAATTTGCTGAGTAGAGTGTTGGAAGCTATTTTGTAAATGACATCGCCGAAGTCAAGGATCGATAGGATAGTCAGTTTTACGAGGGCATGTTTAGCAGCATGAGTGAAGGAGGCTTTGTTGCGAAATAGGAAGCCGATTCTAGATTTAACTTTGGATTGGAGATGCTTAATGTGAGACACCTAGGTATTTGTAGTTCTAAGTCAGACCCACCGAGAGTAGTGATTCTAGTCGGGCGGGCGGGTGCAAGCAGCGTTCGATTGAAGAGCATGCATTTAGTTTTACTAGCATTTAAGAGCAGTTGGAGGCCACGGAAGGAGTGTTGTATGGCATTGAAGCTCGTTTGGCGGTTTGTTAACATAGTGTCCAATGAAGGGCCAGACGTATACAAAATGGTGTTGTCTGCGTAGAGGTGGATCTGAGAGTCACCAGCAGCAAGAGCGACATCATTGATATACACAGAGAATATAGTCGGCCCGAGAATTGAACCCTGTGGCACCCCCATAGAGACTGCCAGAGGTCCAGACAACAGGCCCTCCGATTTGACACATTGAACTCTATCTGAGAAGTAGTTGGTGAACCAGGCGAGGCAGTCATTTGAGGAACCAAGGCTATTTAGTCTGCCAATAAGAATGCGGTGATTGACAGAGTCAAAAGCCTTGGCCAGGTCGATGAAGACGGCTGCACAGTACTGTCTTTTATCGATCACGGTTATTATATAGTTTAGGACCTTGAGCGTGGCTGAGGTGCACCCATGACCAGCTCGGAAACCAGATTGCATAGCGGAGATGGTACGGTGGGATTCGAAATGGTTGGTGATCTGTTTTGTTAACTTGGCTTTCAAATACTTTGGAAAAGGCAGGGCAGGATGGATATAGGTCTGTAACAGTTTGGATCTAGAGTGTCACCCCCTTTGAAGAGGGGGATGACCACGGCAGCTTTCCAATCTCTGGGGATCTCAGACGATACGAAATAGAGGTTGAACAGGCAGGTAATAGGGGTTGCGACAATTTCGGAAGCTAATTTTAGAAAGAAAGGGTCCAGATTGTCTAGCCCTGCTGATTTGTAGGGGTCCAGATTTTGCAGCTCTTTCAGGACATCAGCTATCTGAATTTGGGTGAAGGAGAAGCGGGGGGGACATGGGCAAGTTGCAGCGGAGGGTGCAGAGCTGGTGGCCGGGGTAGGGGTAGCCAGGTGGAAAGCATGACCAGCCGTAGCAAAATGCTTTTTGATATTCTCGATTTATCGGTGGTGACAGTGTTTCCTAGCCTCAGTACAGTGGGTAGCTGGGAGGAGGTGCTCTTATTCTCCATGGACTTTAGTGTCCCAAAACTTTTTGGAGTTAGTGCTACAGGATGCAAATTTCTGTTTGAAAAAGCTAGCCTTTGCTTTCCTAACTGATTGTGTATATTGGTTCCTGACTTCCCTGAAAAGTTGCATATCGCGGGGGCTGTTCGATGCTAATGCTGTACGCCACAGGATGTTTTTGTGCTGGTCAAGGGCAGTCAAGTCTGGGGTGAACCAGGGGCTATATCTGTTCTTAGTTCTGAATTTTTTGAATGGGGCATGCTTATTGAAGATGGAGGAAAGCACTTTTGAAGAACATCCAGGCATCCTCTACTGATGGAATGAGGTCAACATCCATCCAGGATACCCGGGCCAGGTCAATTAGAAATGCCTGCTCGCTGAAGTGTTTTAGGGAGCATTTGACAGTGATTAGGGGTGGTCGTTTGACCGCGGACCCATTACGGACGCAGGCAATAAGGCAGTGATCGCTGAGATCCTGGTTGAAGACAGCAGAGGTGTATTTAAAGGGTAAATTAGTCAGGATGATATCTATAAGGGTGCCCATGTTTACGGATTTAGGGTTGTACCTGGTAGGTTCCTTGATAATTTGTGTGAGATTGAGGGCATCTAGTTTAGATTGTAGGACGGCCAGGGTGTTAAGCATATCCCAGTTTAGGTCACCAAGCAGTACGAACTCTGAGTATAGATGGGGGGCAAGCAATTCACATATGGTGTCCAGGGCACAACTGGGGGCTGAGGGGGGTCTGTAGCAAGCGGCAACAGTGAGAGACTTATTTCTGGAAAGGTGGATTTTTAGAAGTTCAAACTGTTTGGGCACATACCTGGATAGTATGATAGAGCTCTGCAGGCTATCTCTACAGTAGATTGCAACTCCGCCCCCTTTGGCAGTTCTATCTAGACGGAAAATGTTGTAGTTCGGGATGGACATTTCTGCATTTTTGGTGGCCTTCCTAAGCCAGGATTCAGACACTGCTAGAACATCAGGGTTGGCAGAGTGTGCTAATGCAGTGAATAACTCAAACTTGGGGAGGAGGCTTCTGATGTTAACATGCAAGAAACCAAGGCTTTTATGGTTACAGAAGTCAACAAATGATAGCGCCTGGGGAGTAGGAGTGATACTGTGGGCTACAGGGCCTGGGTTAACCTCTACATCACCAGAGGAACAGCGGAGGAATAGAATAAGGATACGGCTAAAGGCTTTAAGAACTGGTCTTCTAGTGCGTTGGGTACAGAGGGGCAGATTTCCGGGCGTTGTAGAATAGATTCAGGGCATTATGTACAGACAAGGATATGGAAGGATATGAATACAGTGGAGGTACACCTAAGCATTGGGTAACGATGAAAGAGAGCATCACTGGAGGTACCGATTGAGCCAGTCTCCGCGTGTGTGGGGGGTGGGACAAAGGAGCTATCTGAGGCAGGTTGAGCGGGACTAGGGGCTCTACAATGAAATAGTACAATAAGAACTAACCCAAACAGCAATAGGCTAGGCATATTGACATGGGAGAGCGGCATAACGCAATCACAGGTGTTATTCGAGAGGGCTAAGACAACAACTGGTAATGGCGACGAAAGTTTGGGCTGAGGCTAAACAGATAAACAGGATGGGGTACCGTGTAAAGGAACAGTCCAGCAGGCATCAGCTGTGTAGCTGAGTGATCATAAGGTCCAGTGAACAGTAATAGGTAAGTCCGGGAGCAGTTCGTAGGCGGCTACAGCACAGGCGTAACCACATCATACGATTACGTCGGCAGACCAGTCGTGATGGATCGGCGGGGCTCCGTGTCGACACTAGGAGGTCCCGTCCGGTTGACAGAGAGGTAGATAGCCGGGAGATGGGCCTGGCTCGAGGCTAGCTCAAGGCTAACTGGTGCGTCGGGACAGTGGTGATTAGCCAACAATAGCCATTCGGTTGCAGCTAGCTAGTTACGATGATCAGGTGTTAAGGTCCAGTGATTCAGTGATTCCGGCAGAAAATCCGATATGCTCTGGGTCGATAGCACGCTGTGCAGACTAGCCGATAATTGTCCAGGCTAGAGCTGGCTTGTAGGTAGTGCAGGCCACGGACAGTGGTGAAGACCGCGAACGGTGGATAATAGCAAGTAGCTAGTTAGCTGGCTAGTTTCAGCCGTAGGTTCTTGATAAAAATAAAGAAATAATAGAATCCGTTCCACATTGGGTGAGGCGGGTTGCAGGAAAGTATATTTAGTTAAAGGATGGAAAGTGAGAGAAATATATACGAAAAAAAGACGAAAAACTAAAAAACTGGCTATTTACACGAGGACACAACATAATACACGACCGCACTGCTACGCCATCTTGGTTTAATCCTAGTAAAAATTCCCTGTCTTGTGTCAGTGAGGATCACCACTTTATTTTAAGAATGTGAAATGTCAGAATAATAGTATAGAGAATGATTTATTTCAGCTTTTATTTCTTTCATCACATTCCCAGTGGGTCAGAAGTTTACATACACTCAATTAGTATTTGGTAGCATTGCCTTTAAATTGTTTAACTTGGGTCAAACGTTTCGGGTAGCCTTCCACAAGCTTCCCACAATAAGTTGGGTGAATTTTGGCACATTCCTCCTGACAGAGCTGGTGTAACTGAGGCAGGTTTGTAGGCCTCCTTGCTCGCACACGCTTTTTCAGTTCTGCCCACAAATGTTCTATAGGATTGAGGTCAGGGCTTTGTGATGGCCACTCCAATACCTTGACTTTGTTGTCCTTAAGCCATTTTGCCACAACTTTGGAAGTATGCTTGGGGTCATTGTCCATTTGGAAGACCCATTTGCGACCAAGCTTTAACTTCCTGACTGATGTCTTGAGATGTTGCTTCAATATATCCACATAATTTTCCTTCCTCATGATGCCATCTATTTTGTGAAGTGCACCAGTCCCTCCTGCAGCAAAGCACCCCCACAGCATGATGCTGCCACCCCCATGCTTCACGGTTGGGATGGTGTTCTTCAGCTTGCAAGCAACCCCCTTTTTCCTCCAAACATAACATAATGATGTTCATTATGGCCAAACAGTTCTATTCTTGTTTCATCAGACCAGAGTACATTTCTCCAAAAGGCAGGGTTGTTTGTTGTCGCTCTCTGTGTGTGTCGGTTTCTCACGCACATGAACACACACACACTGATCAGAGACCGGTTTCCCGATAGCGATGGAACTTAAAAAACGTTCCTACAACGGCAGAAGATGCAACATGCGTTTCCCAAAATACCACGCAGAGAGAGCGGTTGCTAAGTTGGCATATATGTCGATACTGATAGGATCGAAAGAAAGGGAGCGCTGCTCTCGGATCAGCTTTCTCCATTCACATTTTACCTAAACATTCTAATTATTTCACAATTCTGACGAGGGTATCACCTCCTAGAGAGAGATTACCACCTACGGCTGCAAATATTGAGGCGGCTCATTCTAATGCTTACTCAATAAAAATGCACAAAATCACCATGTTAGGCTACACATCATGAAATGTATTGAGACGAATTACAGACGGTAGCCTACAAGTAGCGAAGTAGAGGTCAATTGATTGAACATTAAATGTATTTCAATATGATTGAAATAGGCCTATAGCCTACTGTTTTATATTTGAATGCAGTCATCTCATTTTTCATTTGAAGCATATTATTTTTTAGAAGTCGCTTGATTGTATCAATTGCAAACACATTGGTAACTTTGTTCGTAGTGAATTTGGTTCTGAAGTTATCGATTTGTCACAGAGAGACGAATAAATCATACGATTCTATGTTTAGCGGAGATCTTCTCTGTATAAAGTGATGCGGGAGGGCAAAAAAGCATCTACAAGTGGTCTGAGGCAGGCGTTAGATTACGAGCGTTTTCAAGTGCAACGTTAATAACGATGGTTTTGGGAATCCGCTCAGAGATCTAATGATGCTCCTACGAAGGTTCTAACTATGAACTTAACCTTAAGACGCTTTTGGGAAACTGGGCCCTGGTTCTCCCCTGTCCTTTCTCCAAATCTTCTCTCTGGGGTACTATGCATCTGTCTATCTCTCACGCACATGAACACACGACCACACACACACACACAAACTGACCATGTTGTCCCTCTGCCCCCTCTCCAGATCTTCTCTCTGGGTTACTGTCCGACGGGAGAGTGGCTGGCGGTGGGGATGGAGAGTAGTAATGTGGAGGTGCTCCACGTCACCAAGCCAGACAAGTACCAGCTCCACCTCCACGAGAGCTGTGTGCTCTCCCTCCAGTTCGCCTCCTGTGGTAAGGACATGTCACAAGAGCTCTGTGGCTGACGTGCTCGAGATTTGTCTATGGCTGCGTCTCAAATGGCACCTTATTCCCTATGTAGTGCACTACAGGCTCAATAGAGCTCTGGTCAAAAGTAGTGCACTATATAGCATTGTGGGCCATTTGGGATGCATGCTATGTCTTCTTTGTGTTAGCTGTGTACAGTAACTTGACGTATGTCTGATGCATCTAAACAGCGATGTTACTGGCTTTTGTCTCCTTTTATATTGGGGTTACGTTGGCATTTTCAAACTGATGGAACTGGCCCCCAAATGAGTCGCCTCTGCCTGGTTAATTTTACACTTTGAACCAAGCTGTATTAAACTCCCTGTTTAATACAGGTATTCAGTTCAAAATGTTTTGTTGACCTCTGGTGATATCTGACATAGTAGACAGCCTTACGTTCTGTTTTCATGGGAGAATCTCAATTGCATTTCGTTGACTCCTCTCGCCTCCTCAAAACCCATTGGAGGAGAAGGTCAGAGGGGAGGGACTTCATCATCCAATGGGTTTTGAGAAGGCGGAGAGGAGAAAGAAGGTGAGGAGTCAAGGAAATGCAATTGTCTCCTCATATACAGTAGCTCTAATCCTAACTTGAGATGTGATTGATTGTGAACCCTCTACTCTGGGTTCTCTAGGATTTGGCCCCTGCATCCACAGTAGTATCAGTCCTAGCTCTAGGTCTATGTGATTCCTAAAGCTCTGTCTCCTATTTCTCTGCCTGCCCAGGTAAATGGTTTGTGAGCACAGGGAAGGATAACCTGCTGAACGCGTGGAGGACACCGTACGGAGCCAGTATATTCCAGGTACACACACACCTGTCCACTTGGACAAATGTCTGTTCACTCCGACGGCCTACCTACTGACATGTTTTATTGATATTGTATCAAGGCTGGGTGTTAAGCTTTTACTAATCTCTCTCTCTCTATCTCTCTATCTAGTCGAAGGAGTCTTCGTCGGTGCTAAGCTGTGACATCTCAGTTGATGATAAGTACATAGTTACAGGTTCTGGAGATAAGAAGGCCACTGTCTATGAAGTCATCTACTAGACTGGTGAGCACTAGGATCAGCGACTGACAACCCAAAGGAGCTTTCACGGTCCTAAAACTGACCCTGGGTCAGGGGATCCTGCAGAACATTCTACACCCTTTGACTTTTTCCACATTTTGTAGTGTTACAGCCTGAATTTAAAATGAATAAAATGTAGATTTTTTGTGTGACTGGCCTACACACAATACCCCATAATGTCAGAGGTTTTGAGTCAATAAGTATTCAACCCCTTTTGTTATGGCAAGACTCTGTGTGCAAAAATAGTGTTTAACATGCTTTTTGAATGACTACCTCATCTCTGTACCCCACACGTACAATTATCTGTAAGGTCTTTCAGTCGCAGTGAATTTCAAACACCGATTCAACCACAAAGACCAGGGAGGTTTTCCAATGTCTCGCAAAGACGTTGGTAGATGGGTAAATTTTTTTAAAGCAGACATTGAATATTCTTTTTGAGCATGATGATGTTTTTAGTTACACTTTGGATGGGGTATCAATACACCCAGTCACTACAAAGATACAGGCGTCCTTGCTAACTCTGTTGCCGGAGAGGAAGGAAACCGCTCAGGGATTTCACCATGATGCAAATGGTGACTTTAAAACAGTTACAGAGTTTAATGGCTGTGTTAGGATTAAACTGATGATGGAGCAATGGCATTGTAGTTACTCTACAATACTAACCTAAATGACAGAGTGAAAAAAAAAGGAAGCCTCTACAGAATACAAATATTCCAAAACATGCATCCTGTTTGCAACAAGGCACTAAAGTAATACTTCAAAAAATCTGACAAAGCAATTAAAATTTTGTCCTGAATACAAAGTATGATGTTTGGGACAAATCCAATAGAACACATTACTGAGAACCACTCCCCATATTTTCAAGCATAGTGGTGGCTACATCATGTTATGGGTATGCTATTTAATTGTTTTTCAGGGAAAAAAATAAAAAGGAATGGTTCAGTCTGCTTTCCACTAGACACTGGGAGATGAATTCACCTTCAGCAGGACAATAACCTAAAACACAACGCCAAATAAACACTGGAGTTGCTTACCAAGAAGTCAGTGAATGTTCCTGAGTGGCCGAGTTAGTTTTCACTTAAATCTACGGCAAGACCTGAAAATGGTTGTCTAGTAATAACCAACAACCAATTTGACAGAACTTAAAGAATTTTGAAAATTATAATGGCCGAATGTTGCATAATCCAGCTGTGTAAAGCTCTTAGAGACTTACCCAGAAAGACTCTCAGATGTAATCGCTGCCAAAGGTGCTTCTGCAAAGTATTGACTCAGGGGTGTGAATACTTATGTAAATGAGATACCTGTATTTTATTTTCAAGAAATTGGCAAACATTTCTAAAAACATGTTTTCACTTTGTCATTATATGGGGTATTGTGTGTGTGATGGCTGAGGGGAAAAAAATATTTAATCAATTTTGAATTCAGGCTGTAACACAACACAATGTGGAATAAGTCAGAGGGTGTGACCTTTGAACTGTACAACTGACCCTGGGTCATGGGATCCAACAGAACATTCTCTATACATGAGCAGAGCTCCTCTGCATGGGCAGAGCTCCCTAGAACAATGGCTGATGGACAGACAGACATGGGGATGGATGGATGGATATAGAGAGAGATGGACCGAAACCTCATTATAGATGGATGGAAAGGCGGACCGACACCTCAGAGGTGCCGAATGAATGGCATTGTAGTTTATTTTTACAGACAAAGAATGTGAATGGCCTGGTGACCTCTACCCTTTGTGACCTCTGACCTCAGCTTGCTCTTCTTCCAGACATGAGTCTCCACTCAGACCCTTCACACCCTAATACCGTGTCCCGTCCTACATGTCTGCTATTGCTATCGTGTAATTAGTTACGTTTTCTTGTCTTTGTATTTTTGTTATCAGTCGAGTACTTGTAAAAAGTGTATATATTTGTTTTCTTACAGTAATTGCTTTAGAAATAACAGAAATGTTTGGTATGTCTTTTACATGGAAAATATCTAACCAGGAAAAAACACTAAATGGTCTTAATGCTAGCTAATATAAATCAATTGAAATGTCTAGACAATAAATGTTTGTTTTTTCTAACAAACGTATTTTCTCTGGCTTCCAAAGTAGTGAACTGTAACATTCTTGTTCTTGGTGAGGTCATGGTCTTTCATCCAACAAGGCCAATATTCAAAAACGACATGGGCTAACTCATATGTAGATGAGACTGATCAGATATGGGTGAGAATGTCAAATGGCACTCATTGCTGTAGTCATAATGTAGATTTTCTTAAAGCTCATCAATGGTAGAGAGGTGATGAGGTTAACATTGAGAACATAGACGTCTGAATGGTGCCTCTGGGAGGTTCATTAGCTGAGCACGGCAGAGCAGACGGTCACAGGTGTTGAGCAGGTCCATTCACACAGTAGTAGTGATTGTGGGTTAATGCTAACGCAATTATCATTAATGCTGCGGTGTGGAGGTTAATTTGCAGGCTAATGACCATTAGCGGAGGGCTTCCAGGGGGAAGTGGAGGCGGTGCTGCTGCTACTGAATAATGAGCTGCTCTACGGAGAGCAATGAAACTGGCTACATCCGCAATTGGAGACTGTGTGCATGTGTTTGTGCGGTTGCATGTACACGTGTGTACGTCAACATTTATTTGTCATCTGCACAGGATACAGCGAAGTGTGCACAGTACAATTTACAGTACAATTAAATGCTTAGATGTGTGTGTATGTTTGTGTGCTTAGTGCTCTGGACCTTTGCTCTACGTGTTGCATGGTATACCGAATTGTCAGTACTTCTTCGATAAAAAAACAACTAATCGGAATAATTTTTTATACGTTCGGTAGGCTACTTCTGTCAAATGTGTCTCACGTGATTGAGAGGATCAACTCTGTATCAGCGCAGCCCCATTATAGCGTGAAGAGTATAGTGCCAGCTCCACTTATTCATTGCTAGAGCTGTCTGGGCTGCATTGTTAGCTCCCCACTGCACAGAAGTTGTAACACACTTGAATAATTCAACATGGCATGTAGAAATTGAAGCTGTTCACAAGACAATGTCCATGCAGGCTAGAAGTTACACTTTACAATGGAAGACGATACCGGTAGCTTCTAGCTTTAATTGTAGGCTAACGTTCCTTGCTAGCTTACAGCTGAATTCACTACCCTAGTACTTTGTTTGTGATAATATGCAAACCGTAATGCAAAATATGCTGATTTCAAAGCTGATTGTGACTAATAACTTTATTAATTCACTTTGTCTCCCTCGCCACCAAAAATTAATTCACTTCTTCGTCTTCCTCGCCTCCCGTCTGGTTTCCTCCATAATCACCATAGTAATACCATAATCACAAAGTCAGATTCCACAGGCACATCAAAGACAGTACAGTATGAAGATAGGCAAAAACTGCTTCTCCAATAGAAATCCCCGATCACACCTGTAGGCAGTGTCATGGCGACATTATTAAGTTGTTTTTGACCATTTCAAACGTGTCAGTTTGTCACTTTCACAAGGTTGGAGTAATAACATGATCAACTACTTAAGGCATTGACTCGAATCTAGGTTGTGCCTTTTTAGATTTCGAGAAAATGAACAACTAAGGAATAATTTTTCACTTCTCAATAACTTCTCAAACCCTGGCCTGGACTACTTGGTATGTTTCCCAGAAGTCTTGCGGTGTTGCGCCTCGGTTTAGAAACACTATGGCCACATTCTGCCTCACCAAGGGCATCATTACTTTCTTAAAGAGACAGCGCACAGTTTTATAAAAGAAGCGATTGCTTCTTTTATGAAAATGTTGACCAATACAATAAAATATGTTCTCATAGCAGTTGCCAATAAAACAAGTCTTAAATGGAAGGGATTGTTTGTCATCTGTAGCCCTGTGAAGTCAGCTAAAACAAGCTCAATAACTCAATGCATGCACACACTCCTATTGAATAATATGCATTCACCTGTATTGTGAGTAGATTGGCTACATTTTGATTTACCCAGTTTATCAGTAGAGATTTACCATTCAAATAAATGATTAGTGAAAACAAAGCCACATTGATTGTATAATTGATTAATTAATGCATTACATGGTTGTCTAAAAAAAATTGACATAACAATTTTCAAATGTAATGATTTTGAACTCAAAAGATGCCCAACAATTGAACAGAGCAGTAGCTGAGTTTATCTGTCTGGATCAAGTGCCATTCTGTGACTTTGGCTAATATCACTTTTCTTTTGCTGTGGTATCGTTTTGGTATCATTTTGGTATCGAATATCGTGATGGTATCGAGTATTGTGATACTAAACCTGGTATCGGTATTGAAGTAAAAATGTTGGTATCGTGACAACACTACTTTGTACAGATGTGTGGAGTCGTACACATGGACGTAGGCAGGGCAAACCCGTTTTGCGGCTTTCTGGTGGTTTGAACAGCGACTGTGTTCTGCTGAAACTACCACAACTCAAAAACCACATGGAAACTGGAGATATTTCTACATCACCTGCAGAACACAGTTCCTCTCTCATGTGGTCTATGCGGTCTGTGTGTATTTAACCTAACATAGCAGGCATAAAATATCTGTATATAATGACGAGATGCTCATGCCTATGCCCTAACAATGGGAGTCGTGGTCCCAAAGGTGGGAAGGTAGGTGACAAGCTTAGGTCCAAAATAAGCCCATAGAAACGCATTAGTTTTTTTGGGACAGATTTTGGTGAAAGTGAAACCTCTCGCTTCACCTCTTCCTCTCTGATATATCGGCCGGGGAAAAAAAACTGTTGGAATGGATTGTGGTTAATTACCCTGTTTCTACTCTGAACTAGGTTGAATATTTGCTTAATGAAAACTACAACTCCCTTCAGCCCAGCGTCCCAAATAGTTGTTGACTTGATTTCTCAGATTTCTCTTGTGAATGATTTGTTATGTAGCACTATATTGGATCATTCCAATATGGTATCCTTCGCTTGGCAGGATACATTCCGAGTAAGAATTTCAGATTAGTACCGGG